GCGGCTTGGGCTCGGTCATGGACTGGCAACAACAATGCGCCCAAGCTGCTCCTCCTTAAGAGAGATAGCAGCAGAACCCAAGGCCGTAGACCTATGCCACGGGGAAGCTAAAAAGACACCAGAGCCTGTTGTAGATATTGTAACTACGCAAGGAATAATACTCAAAGTGGTTACCTGTTACAAATACCTTGGTATCTGGCTTGATGATTGTCTCTCTTTTAAACTTCATGTCAATAACCTGCTTAAAAAGCTGAGGGTTAGGCTAGGTTTCTTCTTCAGGAACAAGTCCTGTTTCTCACTTGAGGCCAGGAAAAGGCTCTGTGACCTTTTGACCTGTGCTGGACTATGGTGATCTGATCTATATGAATGCACCTGCCCATTGCCTGGTCAAGTTAGATGCTGCGTATCACAGCGCACTGAGATGTGTGACTAACTGTAAAGCATTAACCCATCACTGTACCCTGTATGCAAGGGCTGGTCTGCCTTCACTAACTGTACGGAGGCTCAGTCACTGGTACATTTTCATACACAAAGCCATGTTAGGGAAACTTCCATCCTACATCTGCTCCCTGATCTCACGGTGAATTGTAAGTGGCTACTGCCTGAGATCGCATGCTGTGGTTTTATTAAATGTGCCAACTGCTAGGACTGTCTTAGGGAAGACAGCTTTTAGATGAGCAGCTCCTCTGTCTTGGAACAGTCTGCAATTGAAATGGAAACTGAGCAATCTGGTGCCACTAAATGTTTTTAAAGCTCGGTTGGATGCTACTCAATCGGAAGCTATTGGTACCTGTTCATGTGGATAGTTATATAAATGATGCTGTATGATGTCCTTTTGTTGTTCTGTTTATGTTTGTATGTTTCATGTGGAACTACTTGAGCAGGTCTCCCTTGAAAAAGAGATCAATGATCTCAATGAGATACACCTGGATAAATAAAGGTTTGAAAATGAAATCTTGTTGAGTCAAAAGATCTTATGTTGAGTTGTATCTCAGATGAAACACATATTTATTAGAAAAACACTAACATCAGAAAACAGAAAACGTTTGAGCACGTGGGGCTCACTTTGTAACAACATTTCCTGATTCTGGTAACAATGAGTTCTCCAGATAATCACAAGATGTGATTTATCTAAATATCCCTTCTTATTTCCAGAGACCTCACCAAGCTAAGTTCCCTTGTTCTATTGGCAGACCTCAAGTGAAAACACCTTGTTTGCATTATTGTTTAACTTGTTTTTGGAGCAGCATTTTTTCCAGTGTAAACAAATAAATAAATAAAAAATAGTCTTTTACTCTGATGGCCTTTTACGGTACGTCCACACGGCAGCGTGCGTTGAAGGTTGCCGGTGGGCGTGTCTGGCGTGGGACCAACAACCAATCACATTAATCTCCCGCCCCGCACACACAAGCACGCGGTTTGATTGGCTGGCGCTTCCGTCGACGCTTGAAAAGTTTAACTTTTTTCAACTTTCAAAGCGAGCAACGGAGGCAAAGCGACGGAACCACAATGCAGTTCGGCAAAGCGTGACGTCAGCCCATTCAAAGTGAATGGGAAGCGTCTCCGTTGAAGCAGGCGACGCTGCCCTGTGGACGTACCGCTACTCTGTTAGATTGTATGTTTTGGCTGCACTGTTTCTCAACGCTCTTAGGCCCCGTCCACACGGAGACGAAAACGAGAGCCGTTTCGCCCCCCAGAGCGTTCCGTCCTCAGACCTACCCACCTTGGGAGCCGTTATCACAGGCTATCTTTCCGTGTCGGCCTCGTGTGGACGAACCGTCTGTACGATAGAGAACGTTAGCGGATTCCACTGTCTTTCATTGTTGTAAAGCACTCGCCTGGTGTTGAAAGGTGCTGTATGAATGAACGTGCCTTGCCTACAGGAGAACGTCTGTGATGGAACGTCCCTGATATGTTTTAGTCCTCACCTTGCAGAAGCCTTTTTTGATGGAGCTGAAATCTGGGAGAACGTAATCCCTGACCACCGTGTTCTCCTCGCCCTTCATCCTGAACAGAAGAAAAACACGTGTTATTGAATATCTTATTAATGTGTGTTTTCTCATACAGCGAAGTGGAGACTTCACCAAAAACTCACTCTTGTTCTCATTCATTCGTTTCTTCATTTGAAGCTAATTTATAGATTTTTTCGGTGTTAAGTTTTAATCGTTTTCTCATCAATTTGTGACTTTAATCTCAAAACATTTCAGATGGTTCTATTCGTGCGATGCCCCCACGAATAGAACCAAAGTATGTGGGAAACACTGGAAACACAACCAGAAAACTGTTATTTCCTCCTAAATGTGTATTTCTTTAAACTTCACTTCAGTTTTTTGGTCCTTTTTGTTTTATTTGTTGTCAATTTGTAACATATTTGCTGTTGATAACATTTATTTTGTCCTCTGTATTTCTAAATGTTTCCAACTTGACGAAACCCAGTAAAGGTCTTAATAAGTGTTGATCAACTGAAGAGGTGGAAAAGCAAAGAGTCCCCTCGGTTTCCCTGGAGCTCCACAGTAATGGCAGACACTAAGCAGAGGTTAACTAAACACGGCTTATATGACGCTCCTCATTTCTCTGCTCAGCCTCTAAAGGGAAATGTGTTAAATGTGTTTCCTGAGGACTCACTGGGATATCTCCATGTCTTTAAAGAACTGCTGCGACACGTAGCACACGTCCTCCTTCACCTGATTTATCACGTGAGTTTCATCCATCACATGAAGCTGCCTGCAGGAAACACGGGTTATTCAGGATTTTCATAGAAACAAAGGTCCAGGATCCACAGATTCAAACATCGCCTTTCAAATGTCATTTCCTGCCACTTTGTGTCTCTGGATGTTAACACTAGTCACAGCTGCAGTTTGGTGTGTTGATGAGGCAGCATTGCATCATGGGAGTTGTAGTCTTTAGCGTTTCCTCTGGTAGGATTCCTTCAGTGTTCATGGTAAGATCAAAGTGATCATTTGCATAACGATGTCGTGACCTGACCACTAACACATTATGACGTTATGTAAAGCTAATTGCAGATCTGTACTCAGGTACATTTCTTCATTTCAGTTATCTCAGAGAATTTGAGATGTTTTTCTTGTAAATGCATTTCTTGAAGATTTGCAGGAGAGCGAAGTGGCTTCTTGACCAAAATCTATAAGGTATTTGTTCTAATATAACGTTCTCTGGCACCGCAATATTTAAAGAACGTGTTCAATGTGTCCCCCTGTAGTGGCCTTAACATGCAGTCTTGAAAATGCACCCTTACTTTAATAAAAATGCACTTTTCTCTGAAACGTTTATGTATGTTTTACACATTATGTGCGACTGTGGCTTCGACGGAGTGCGGTCGTCTTTCAACCAGAAGGTTGTGGGTTCGATCCCAGCCCACGCGGTCAACATGTCGACGTATCCTTGGGCAAGATACTGAACCCTGAGTTGCTCCCGATGGCTAACGGTGTGTGAATGTTAGGTCCTAGAGTAAGGAACACTGCTCTGTATGAATGGGTGTGAATGTTAGGTCCTAGAGTAAGGAACACTGCTCTGTGTGAATGTTAGGTCCTAGAGTAAGGTACACTGCTCTGTATGAATGGGTGTGAATGGGTGAATGACATGTAGTATGTAAAGCGCTTTGAGGGGTCTTAAAGACTGGATAAAGCGCTATATAAGTACAGTCCATTTACAGATGTAGCGATTCATTTCAGACAGTTTGAAACGCGCTGGCCGTAATGGTACGTGATCTGCCCTCGCTCAGGGAAAACCTCCAGCTTGACTTGAGACCGCCCCCGTGATAGATAAATGTATTTATAATGAAGCCAGCTGCAATGGATCATTGATCCACCAGGGGGTGCAGTGGGGTTCCACACTGGAGCTCATGTGAAATAAAGTCAGATACTGGATGTCCAGCGGAACTTTGTTAAGATCCATATGTCACGGATAT